TGAAAAAATGCTCATCATCACTGGTCATCAGAGAAATGCAAATCAAAACTACATTGAGATACCATCTCACGCCGGTAAGAATGGCGAACATTAAAAAATCTGGAGACAACAGATGCTGGAGAGGATGTGGAGAAATAGGAACACTTTTGCACTGTTGGTGGGAGTGTAAATTAGTTCAACCATTGTGGAAGACAGTGTGGCGATTCCTCAAGGACATAGAAATAGAAATTCCATTTGACCCAGCAATCCCATTAGTGGGTATATATCCAAAGGATTACAAATCGTTCTACTATAAGGACACGTGTACACGAATGTTCATTGCAGCACTGTTTACAATAGCAAATCCCTGGAACGAACCCAAATGCCCATCGACGATAGACTGGATAGGGAAAATGTGGCGCATATACACCATGGAATATTATGCAGCCATCAAAAACGATGAGTTTGGGTTCTTTGTAGGGACATGGATGAACCTGGAAACCATCATTCTCAGCAAACTGACAGAAGAGCAGAAGATCAAACACCGCATGTTCTCACTCATAGGCGGGTGTTGAACAATGAGAACACATGGACACAGGGAGGGGAGCACTACACACTGGGGTCAGTTGGGGGGAAATAGGGGAGGGACGGTGGGGGGTGGGAAGCTGGGGAGAGATAGCAAGGGGAGAAATGCCAGATGTAGGTGAGGGGGAGGAAGGCAGCAAATCACACTGCCACGTGTGTTCCTATGCAACAATTTTGCATGTTTTTCACATGTACCCCAAAACCTAAAATGCAATAAAATAAATAAATGGGGAAAAAAAAAAAAAAAGAACCTCTTCCAACTTTTCTATGGCTCTTGTTAGAACTAAGGAGGTTGTAAGAACTAACATAGTAAGTTTTAAGCAAATCCAGTCACCACAAATCAGTGTTTGCTATTGGTGCATGAGGTAAGGTCATATTGCTGTTTCAATCCAGGATACTATGTGGCCAGCAGCATGTAGTTGACCATGGAGTAGTGTAACCCCGGGGACAGGAGGTGCTCACTGTTCCCTGATTGGATATGTTTTTTTCCAGGTCCTTGGGCTCTCACTCACCCAGTAATGGGTAGGAGAACCTGGTGGTGTGGTGATATTGTTCAAGTAAATATTGGACCCAAAGAGTTTTGCAGAAAAGCGATTTATTAGGCTGAGAGAGAGAGAAAGAGAAGTAGTGGGAGAGAGAGACGGCCTCCCACACTGTCACGGGAGGGGATCCAGAGATGGAGTCTGCACAGGTAAGGGGCAGGGGGACTTTTAATCTGGGAGTTACTCCCACCCCGTTCAAGCCCTTTTCCCATGAGAGGAGTTCCCTCAGACTTCCGCTGGAGTGATTGATCTTTGACTTTGACATCAGATTGGCTGTCGCGCCCACAACAGAGCTCTTCCTTCCAGGGCTTTTTGTGGGTTTTTCTAAACAAAGGAAGCTTACCTGGGCAGTCTACCTTTCCTGTGCCTGCAAAAGTTAGACAAAGAACTCTAGGCTCCCGGATGGAGATGTGAAAGAAGGCAGGTAGGGCATGTCACTGGGAAGTTCTTGCCTTTGAAACCCCGCCCCTTGTGGACCCGGGGAAAAAAAGTTAATACAGTCCCTCAGTAGGACCTGGCCCTCTAAGAGTACATGGCTTGCTTAGGGAGAGGAACCACAAGTGTTTGAAGTAAGGATATGAGGCCCAGGCTTAGATGCTCTTGAACATCAGTGAACGTTGCAAGACAGCCTCTGTCTTTAGTTCGATTCCTTGTAATTTGAAGACTTTGGGAGTCTGGAGAAGTTGGAATACATTAAAATGAAATTATTTAAAGGACAAAGTCCAAAGTGACATGTTTGATGTCTACCATAAGCTCTAGGGTGTGATGAATTGTTTTTAAAGGGATCGTGAGTATTTGAATCAGGACAAAAAAATGAAAAATAAATTGCAGGGCTGCAGCAGACCATTTTTAGAAGCTTTGACTAATTGTAGAAAGAATAGTAAAGCCAGTGACAACAGAGCAAATTTGGAAAAATGATCTATTTTGAGAGAGCCCTGTTGGGAGTGTGATTTGATGTGAAGAAGGAAATGGGATCTGGAGCATTGCACTCTGCTTATAGGTTTTCTGCTCATACTGTGCTGAAAACATTTGCAGCCCTCACAGTTCACTGCCTCAATTTTCCCAGATTTAAAATAATACTCCCTTCTTGGGTTGTGATTTTGATTAAAAACCCTGGCTTGTGGACTAATAGCTCATGTCTCTGTATGTGTGATGTGTGATAAATTAGATTTTCCCCCCTTTTTCTCTATACTTTCTCCTTGATTTCCTTCTCTTTCTTCCACATTTGTTTCGTCTTTCATGGCTTTGTTGGAAATATGTAAGAAAATTGCCTCCTTCCTATTTAGGAATTATCTTCTTTCCTCTGCTTGTTTTTTTTTACCCTCTGTTAATCTGTGATACAGCAATCTTCCCCAGAGTAATTAATTGTAATTCTACAAGCTGAAAAAATTTAACTTCAGGTGAAAAGTAGCAGAAGCTGATGAACCTTAAATGAGAAATATTTGTATTTTATGCAGCTGCCACTCATAATTAAGAGGAAATATCTAAGTAGAACGGATCCTAACTTGCTTGATTGCTTTGCAGAGTGGGCATCCATGCTTAGTACATTTACTAGGACTACTAAATAGTAGCTGTTATGGAACATTTTGTTCAATGTCTGTGGCACATTGCCACCTTGTGGCTGCAAGTTTGTCTTGTAATGTAAAAGCAAATTTTTAATGTTAAGTCTACCTCATATAATCTTATGTTACATTTTTTTCCTAGTGTTTATACTTTACCTTGCTCACAAAAGATTTGAGACCCCATATAAGAGTACATAGGATATGGCATAAGAGAACCTAAGAGAATACTCTTGTTCTTAGAAGAGGCATGTTGAAGTATTGGGGGGTGAAGAATCACACTACCCGCAACCAAGTCAACCGTTCATGTGTGAAGAAAAGGAGAGAGAGCAAAAGCAGTGTGGCAAAAGGTTTACAACTCTCCATTGAGAATATCGGTGTTTACTGCGCTGTTCCTGTAACTTTCCTGTAGTTGCCAATGTTTTTCTGAAAAGCTTCAAAGTTGAGAAAATTGGCAGAAAAGATAATTGGGGTAAGAGCACAAAATGGAGCCAAGAAAGAGGCAAAAAATAACCTCTACGATTCTGTAATGATCTGACTCCAGATTGAACCCAGCAATTTGGTTCTGCTTTTTCTAGAGACTAGACTGAAAATTCTCCTTGGAGGCCCTGCTAGGTAGGACACTATGTAATGAACACCCGTCCTTGACGAATTCCTTATGATAAGTACAGCTCTGCATTTGAAAGGGTGTTTTTTTGTTTGTTTGTTTTTTCGTTTTTCCCAAGCGCACTCTGGAGTCCCTTTTTCCTGCGGATCTGGCTTTGATCTTGGAGTGGATGGGCAGCCAGTTCTTCAAGGGCCTCTCACTGAAGTACTGACCTGCAATGGGCATGAGATGGTACTTACTTACAGAGTAGTGCTTGAAATCGAGGTGTTAGGTGTTACTAATGAACACAACTGTGCTGAAGGGAATCTTTTAGTAGCTGAACCGATGAGGTCTGTTCTATCTCAGCCAACTTGGGAAGGGTTGCTCATAAACAGGATCAAATTTCTTTTTGTACAATAGTTTTTATTTTGTTTATTTCTATTTATTTAATTATTTTTTATTATTTATTTTTTGAGATAGTGTCTTACTCTGTTGCTCAGGCTGGAGTGCAGTGCTGCAATCATGGCTCACTGTAGCCTTGACTTCCTGGGCTCAACAGAGTCTCCTGCCTCGGCTTCTCAAAATGCTGGGATTATAAACATGAGCCACTGCACCCAGCCTGTGCAGTGACTTTGAATATGATGCAGTGCATAGACAGACGAATGGATGACCTAGTCTCCAGATTTCTATTTCTTATAAATACATCCATGATAAACATAACCTGAAAAAAAATCAGACAGGTATAACCAGGTGACCACCTCTTTTCCCTATGGAAAAAAAAAAAACAAATCTCAGTGAAACAGCTTTTAAAATGCCCAGCTTTGAATAATGTTACTTGGCTTTTCTGTTTTTTAATTTCTACAAAGTTAACCTTTTTTCTGTACTTTTTTGAGAGATCTTTAATCTAACTGGACGTACACATGTGTACATGAATATTTTTGCCCTTTATAACTATCTAGACACATATTCATATGTACTTACTTGAAGGTGAACATTTTAGAAGGTATGGCTCTATTAAGTATGAGAGGCTTTCTTAAAAAAACAGGCAGATCTTGAAATAACTGTTGTGACACAAGGGATTCTTTTGTAGAAAGCTTTCTCTTGAAGCGACTTTGATTTCTCTCATTCTTGTGACAGATTTTCTTTTAAAAAGCTATAAGGTGATGTAGGGATGTATTGATTTCCATTAAGGGCTAGGGTGCTTAGAAATTTCTCTCCCGTACAACACATATTTGTGAGCAATATGTGAATTTTCTTTTGTGACCAACTAAAGAGAATGATCTATTGCTTCTCCATAGAACAACAATCTTCAATTTTGGGGGAGACCAAGTATAGAAAGACCCATTTTATATAGTAACCTAGGATATACACACATACACCTATAACTGAATAAAAGATTTCATGAAACAATACTTTCTCTTTCTTCATTGGACTCTGATAATTTGTATTCTATTGCATTAAGAAACACCAGTCACAATCTACCAAACCTGACTTCATGACCCACTAATATGCTGTGACCCATAGTTTGAAAAACACTGCTGTCAAGATTTTGCAGCAATCCAGACTCTCTTTCAGATGGAAGTCATGACAAAGAAATTCTGAATTCTCTAAGGTAGCCAAATTAAACACAGGGTTGGGAGAATGGGGTTTGGAGAAGGAAAAGAAAGGAAGAAAGTGTGAATGATTGGTCTTCCATTCTAGGCTGTGTTGATGTCCTAGTCAGTGATGCCATTCTTCCTCTTTCTGCAGCTTGACCACATATTATCCCCTCCACCCATGCCGTTTCGGAAATGCAGCAACCCAGATGTGGCTTCTGGCCCTGGAAAATCACTGAAGTATAACAGACAGCTGAGTGAGGATGGAAGACAGCTAAGGCGAGGGAGCCTGGGAGGAGCCCTGACTGGTGAGTCGTGGTGGCTGGGTTGAGAGAAGGAATTGCGTTTCTCGTACAGGGTCCTGCGTGGCCCCAGCGTTCCACATGTGATCCACCTGCTTAAGAATGGGTCTGCCTCTGCAGAACATTTCATAAAAATCTTATCCAATTCAGAAACCAGTTAAATTGATAATTTTATTAGTAAACTTTGCTGAAATATAATTTACATGCAATGACTTATCCCCAGTTTTAAGTGTACATTTGGATGGATTTTTGCAAATTTATACCTCAGTTTACTGCCTTGATCAGGATATAAAATGTTTTCTTTGTTGTTCCTAATCAAACCCACCCGATACTCCCACCCTCAACGCCAAATCCTTGGCCCTAGACAGCCATAGATCTGTTCTCTGTCATTATAGATTAGATTGACCTTCACAAGGGGTTTATATTAATGGAAGCATAGAGAGTCTACTCCTTTGTGTCTGGCTGCTTTTGCTCAGTGTGATGTTTTTAAGATTCACCCATGTTGCCGTGCGTATTAGTAGCATATGTTTAATTTTAAATGAATAGGTTCTAGTGTTCTATACTACTTTAGGATAACTATAGTTAACAATTATATATACTTTCAAATAGCTAGATAAGTATATTGAATGTTCCTAACACAAAGAAATGATAAATATTTGAGATGATGGATATGCTAATTACTCTGATCTGATCACTATACATTATATGATCGAAAGAGCACTAGTACCTGATGAATGTGTATAAATTATTCTTTGTTAATAAAAGTAAAATTAGAAAAGAAACTGCCAAATGGTTTTCTAAAATTGTACCATTTTACATTCATGACTGGTATGGATGAATGACCCAATTGCTAGGAGTTCTTGCTAACCTGTGGTATTACCAGTTTTTAAAATTGTAGCCATTTTCAATGGTATATAGGTGTATCACATTATGGTTTTATTTATGTTTCCTTGGTGAATAGAGGATATAGAACATCCTTTCATGTGCTTATTGGGCAGTTATTTGTATTTTGTGAAGTATTGGTTCAATTCTTTCACCCCTTTTTAAATTTCATTGTTAAAATTGTGAAATTTTCAAGTTCAGAAAACTCACAAATTATTTTTGACTTGCAAAATAGCCAAAGTAAAATAAGTTAAAGCATAGCTTTTAAAAAGTAACTCACCATTTAAAATTTTACGTTATTAAGTTTAGCTATAAGTCAGTGAAAGCTTCATTTCTTTTAGTTCATCAGAGTGCTTTTTCCTCTACAGAGAAATATTTTTAGGGAAATTTGTTTCTGAAAATTCCCAAGCAGAGTTTTTTTTTTACATATGATGGTCTTGTCTACCAGTTTAAAAATGGCCTGGAAAATAAGTTGAATTACTAATTTTTTGGAGAACTATGGCTTTTTGACTTTTGGAGATTAAATTTCTGCGAACAGAGTGCTTCTGCCACATGATTAGTGGAGTCTAGGATATCTGACCTAGTGTGCCACACTGCTGGAACAAAGGGCAAAACGACCTCAGGTCAAGAGGGAGAAATTCATCAAAAAAAAAAAAAAAAATTTGCTGCAGTTCAAGTTTAAGGCAAATCTTTTCCCTTGAGTTTACTGATGCTTTTCTAATGCTTGTTAGGATATTTTTCTTTGCTTTCCTTTTATAAGTGCAGACTATTTGCTTTTAAAAGTAGGAGATCCCAAAGATTATTCTAAATCTTACAGGTAAGAAAATTAAATCTCAAAGGTTAAAAGACTCATTCTCTGATTAATTTCACTTAGGAAATTTACTTACCTTGATTCAACGATTTTCGACAGATAGGAGACGCACTAATTGTTTTATCCACTTTTGCTAAAGCAGTTTACATAAAGGTTTAAAATAATGCAAGAGTATGGCTGTTGATGCAGATATATGATCTCAAACGTGAAATTCGGCCTTTAGCTTTGAAAATAAATAGCTGGGCTTGATTCTCTTGTCATAATTTTAACAGCTCTAGCAAGTTTATCCTTATACAATTACTTTGCTACACAACTATTTTTGGGAACTAAATCTTTGGTCAGATAACTTTTTAAATGCTTAATAATCCTTAGAAAAGCTAAAAAAAAAAATCCATTGAACATCAGCCTGTTTTTGAAGATAACTCCTTGAAAGTTATATTAGAATGTAAAAAAAAAAAAACCATTTTTAATTGTTCCTCTAGTTACTTTAGCTGAGGATTTAATGAAATAATATATACCAAGTAGCTAGTCCAATGATAGGAGCTATTAGTATTATGTGCTAACTAATTGAATTTGGGGGGATTTGGAGTTGATGGGTACATGAGCTCACAGAAATCAGTTTGGTATCCTTATCGACTGGATTCCTGCTTTGTGTTAGGCGCTGTGTTCATGTCAGGCTAGTGTCAGATGTTGTAACTCAGAGAAGACGGTATCTTCCCTGAACTTTAAAAAATGTGTTTTCCACTAGTTTTAGGTAACTGTAAATAATCACATGTGGTCTCACCTTGGGACATACCCTGTTGCTAAACTTAAATTAAGTCATACTGGTTTTTCCATTAGAGGCCCATGCCTGATCTAATCTGTTACTTAATGAGTGATCACTTTCTCATTGTTTTACTTTGTTTTAATCCAAGGATCTTTTCTTTGGTAGTATTCTACTTTCCTTAAAACAAAGATTTTTAGTTTTTATAGTTGGACAATTTTGCCAACCAATAATCCTTGATAAGTTTCAGTAGACTTTTAGCTGTTTGAGAGGAAGATCTGTGATCAATTTATATATTTACTCCTAATAATGATAGCTAACATTAAAAGCTTACTGTGTAGCAGGCATTGTGTTTAGGGAATTTTATTTATTGACTTATTTAATCCTTACAACATCTCTATGTGTCTATGAGGGAGACGCTGTTATCCCATTTTACACATGAGAACACTGAGGCACAGGCAGGTTGAGTAACTTCCTCGAGGTCACAGTGCTCACCACAGCAGAGCCAGGATTTGAACCCAGGCATCGTGGCTCCAGAGTTCATGCTCACAACTGCCGCACTGTTCCTAGCATCATTAGTACCTAGTAAGTTTTAAATAAACTCTTAATTCCAGCAGTATTAATTGCAGTGACTCTTACATGGGAAAATTTCTTCACTCAGTTGGAATTTGTGGCTGACTCAATCTGTATGGCTCCCAGTTGTTTAATTATAAAATAAAGTAAAACTAGGCAATTAGTACATATTTAAAACCTTAAAATTTATACATTGGTTAACACAGAAATTTGACTGCTCAGAATTCATCACAAGGAAATAGTTGTATGTCAAGAGAATTAACCTTAGTTATATCTAAAGCCGCACCATTTATAATAATTAAAATTTCATATTATCTAAATAGCTGACAAATGAATACTGATTAAACATATTATGGTATGCACATAAAATGGAAAACAGTTGTGACATTAAAAGTCATATTATAAAAAAACATGTTTTGATATTGAAAGAGACTCACAATATATTAATGTGAGATTCCATTGTTAAATGGTCTCATAGTGTCTCATGCTTCCTAAGACTTGCTATATTTGTAATTAAATAATTGTATACAGACGGTCCCTCACTTACTATGGTTTGGCTTTTGACTTTTCAACTTTATGATGAGTTTAGTGGGGTATTAAATGCATTATTGACTTAGGATTTCTTTTACTTCTGATGGTGGGTTTATCTGGATGTAAATGTAACCCCACTGTAAGATGAGGAGCATCTGTCTTTAATGAGGAGGAGGAAAACAATTACTTTCTGCTAAGGAATTTTCTCAAAATGGAGTGATGGTTGAGTAGGCTGTCTTTAAAAATGGGCAAGTGAAGGATGCTATGGCATTTTTATACCCTGCAGCTTAATCCATGAGATAGTTTTTGAGCCCGAGTTTTTCTGTGGCATTTGGTGGTATGTCAGTCAGCAACAGTAATGTTGCATAACTGCAAGCATCTCAAGGGTAGACAACAATAAGTATTTCTTTTCTTGTTCACATGGCTACAGTTGGGGTTTGGTTGTAGGTCACTCTGGGCCATATTGGGCTTGGTTCCAGGATGCAGTTTGGGTCCAGATTGCTCTATGTGTCTATCTTCTTCCTTTGGTAGCTTCTACCAGCAGCTATCAAAGGCATCCTCTCCTGGTGAAAGACAGGAACATGAGAGGGCAAGTTCTCCTGTACAGCCACATTTCAAGGTTCTGCTGGTATCATATCTGCTAATTTTATATTGGCTAAAGCAAAAAGCACAGTCAACCCTGGAGTCAAGGAGTAGACGCACACTTCATCTTGATACCTTGGCCAGGATGCAGGTAGTCATGTGCCACATAAAGTCATTTTGGTCAGTGATGGGCTGTATGTGTGACAGTGGGCCCATAACATTATAATGAAACTAGAAAACTATTGCATGGTAATGTCTTCCTGATCCTGACTCTGTGTAGGCCTAGGCTAATGTATTTGTGTCTTAGTTTTTAACCAAAAATGTTTGAAAGAAAAAATAGAAAAAAATCTTATAGAATAAGGATATAAAAAAACAAAATATTTTTGCACTGGTCTACAATGTGTTTGTATTTTAAGGTAAGTGTTATTACAAAAGTCAGAAAGTTTAAGAAGTTTATAAAGTAAAAGTTACAGTAGGCTAAGGTTAATTTATTATTGAAGAAAGAGAAATATTTTTTATAAATTCAGTGTAACCTAGGTGTACATTGTTTATAAAAGTCTACAGTAATGTCCTGGGCCTTCACATTCAGTTACCACTCACTGACTCACCCATAGAAACTTCTAGTCCTGCAAACTCTATTCATGGCAAGTGCCCTATATAGGTATACCACTTTTTATCTTTTCTTTTATATTTTTAAGGTAGCTTCTCTGTGTTTAGACACGCACATACTGATCATTGTGTTGCAGTCGCCTACAGTATTAAGTGCAGTTGCACACTGTACACATTTGCAGCCTAGGAGCAATAGGCTATACCCTGTAGTTTGGGTGCATAGTAGGCTGCACCATCTAAGCTTGTATAAGTACA